CTTTGTTACTGTGCTCGTTTTAGAGTATGTAGTAAATGTTGTATCGTCTGGCCGACGTGCATTCCGGCCCATCGTCATCGTCCAGTCAAGGGCAAATCGCGATTTTTATTAGTGTTGCGTAAGAAAGAGTTTCGGTTTGAATTAGTGTTGCGTCTTAAAAAATTTCGTGCTTGTATTTCAATATATATAATTATCATTGTAATTACAACAATTAATAATTATTAATTAGTAGTAACTAGTAGTAATTAATTAGTAATTAGAATAATTTTTTTTTTTTTTTTTTTACTTGAATTGCAAAAAATATTATTTTTCAATTAATTGTTTGAAGTAGCTTCTCTTTTTGAAATAATAGTAAATTTTGTATTCAATTTATCCTAGTAATTAGTGTTGCGCTGATGAATATTCGCGTTTTTTAAAGTAGTGTTGCGCTATTGAATGATCGCGTTTTTGAAGTAGTGTTGCGTCAATAATATGCCCAAAATTTTGACTGGAATTACGTTCCTGGACCACCTAATGCGGTTAGAAGAGCATTAGGGTGGTTTATACGACGGTAGCCACCAAGATGGCTGCATCTTCCGCTATTAGTGTTGCGTTTGTTTAAACACGAGTGCATAAAATAGTGTATTAGAGTTGCGTGGATTAAATTAAAACGCTCCGTCGAGTATTGCTTCCGGGAATGTATTCTGTCTTTTTTTTTCTTTTTTTTTTTTTTTGATCGATTAAGAATTGCATTGCAAGTATAATAATAAAGCACTCTTCGCGATTTGTTTTATTTTTTATTATAAATTAGTATATTAGTGTTGCGAAATGAGAAAAGATTCCACTCACGCGTTGTCCGGGTTCATATATTGAGTGGATTATTTATTTTGGTAGCCCTTCTGGCTACCTTTTTTCTTCTTTTCAGCACCCCATTATGTTTAAAGGGCATTTGTTAATGGAAATACTTTGTTATTTCTGAAAATGTTTCATTTTTATATGTAATATTATTTAATATTATTTAAATTTGTTTTTTGATCATTCTGAATTAAATTTCCAAAAAAATTTCAATTCTAAATTTGCAAAATTTTGATTGAAAAAAAAAAAGAAATGTGAATTACTTAACAATATTTTCATTGTTTTGTTCTTATTACATGTTTTCTTTTCAGGTACATTTTTTTTTTTTTAAGTACTAATCCAATAAATGAGTTTGTTTCAGGTTGATTAACTTTTAGGATGTAATGTTTAAGGATCAAACGTGTAGGCATAAGGTCAAAGATTCTTGAGAGGAAAAGAAAGAAATATATGTAAGAGGTAAAATATATATGGATAAAATTAAATAAATTAACTATTTTATGTAACAAAATTTTTTTGTGGAAGAATTTGGATTTTTATTAATCTATTTTGAGTTTTTTAGATAAAGAGAAGTTATATACTTTGTTACTTCAAAATTCAATTGCTTAACAATATTTTCATTGTTTTATTCTTATTACATATTTTCTTTTCAGATCCAATTTTTTTTTTAAATACTAATCCAATAAACGAGTTTGTTTCAGGTTGATTAACTTTAAGGATCAAATGTGTAGGTATAAGGTCAAAGATTCTGGAGAGGAAAGGAAAGAAAAAGAGTATATGTAAGTAAAATTAAAAAAAAGAAATATATGTAAGACATAAAATATAAATATGGATAAAATTTATAAATTAACTATTTTATGTAACAAAATGTTTAATTTCTTTGTGGAACTTTCAAAGAATTTGGATTTTTATTAATCTATTTTAAGTTTTTCAGATAAAAAGAAATTATTTACTTGCTTCTTACTTCAAAATTCAACATTGAAGATTCAACGTTGAAGATTGACATATTTTTCCAGAATTCAACATAGAAGACACATACCTTTCCATATCCTTCTTCTCCTGTTTATTATATTCAGATATTTGTTGTAATTAGGAATTTTAGAATTAAGAATTTAATTAGGAAATATTTTGAATTAAAATATTAGTGTAATACTCTATATAATAAGTTATTAAGAATAAGTTATTTATAAGACAATAGTATATAAGATATAGATTAAGCAAAATATATTTATAAGTGCATGCAAGGGTGTTAATTATAAGATAAAATGAAGTAGTATAGATAAGTAGATAATTAATGGGAAAAATGCATGTAGTTCAATGCATGTAACGCAATGCACGCAGTCAATGCACATAGCTTAATGCACATGGCTTAATGCACGCAGCGCAATGCATGGTGGTGGAATGCTTATTTTGCTTATTTTTTTTTCTTTCTTTTCACGCTTTTTAACTATCAATTATTTTCATTCTCGTGATAAGAACGAAGATATTGATAGGAAGTAATATCTCTTAATTTTAATTGAGAAATATTACTTTTAGATTTAGATTTTCGCGTCGGTTTTCCTTCAAGTTTCCTTTTGTTATTTGATTTACACAACGATCAACGGTTTGGACGTTTTGTAAATGTGCATCAAAAGGAAAATTTATTTAAAAAAATATTAATTAAAAAAATTTTTGCGCAAAAGGAGGGTGGATGGGACGTCGTGGTTAGGGTGGGTCTCCAAAGCAGCAACCTCCACGCGGTGAGACCTGGGTCAGTATTATTTGCTACATTAATTATTAATTGTATCGCAATTGATGTAATTATTATGTACTAGCAAATAATACTAGCTAATTGGCTGCAATCGCGATTATTTTTTTATATAAAGCATGCTAAAAATTAAGAACTTATTTTAAGAACTTAATTTTTTATAAAAGTTTTGTTGTCATTTGTATTAGTTGGTAGCATGTTATTATAATTAGTAAAAAATGATAGCATGTAAAAATTTAAATATAAGATATTTTGTAATATACATTATATTGTATTAGTAATAAGGCGTAACAAATGTAAATTCTGTGCATTGCTAATAAGTTACCATCTAACGAGATAAACCAACATATGTGTGTTATATTATATTTGGTGAGATAGAAGAGGCTTAATGCCTGCACTCTCAAGGTAATTAACTTACCAGCAATGCACAGTACTAATGTTCTTTAAGGTCGGTATTTCGGAACGTGTTGTATAGACTTCCGTAAGATGTCGGTATATTCTGTTTCTTGTCGGTAAAAACGTGTCGATATTTCAGAATTCTCTAACGAAAATGTATTACTGTTGTAGATAAAGCAGAAACGTCAACAGTCGATATAGAAGAATACTTTGATATAAATCTACGATCGGTAAGATGTTAAAAAGTAGCCGAAGAATCATAATTCTTGGATGATCGTACACGAATTATAGTTGAAAATAATGGACACAGATGGAGTTTAAAGAGGTTAGTTTCGCGTTACTGTCATAGAACGAAACAGCTGTTGTCTCGAGTTCGGGGGTGGTATCTACTGTCAGATGCTCCGCCTATAAATCAACCGAGCTCATGGGGGAGACAGGCCGACGCCATGTTAACATACATAAACAAACCTTGCGCGCCCTAACTGATAAACGGCGAAAGCTGCGCGCAACAAGCGATCGTACGCTAAAATAAAATAAATCTCGCGTAAGTAGTTTTTTTTTTCTTCTTTTTTCATGAGACAATATTTTTGTCGACGAAACAATAAAAACGTCAATTTTTAAAAGAAATTATCAAGATTAATTTAAAAAAAAAATACCGTAAGAAATTATTTAAGCGAAATTGTCGATTCAATCGGATTAAAAGGTGGTAAAAATGAAAATGCAGACAATGAAATATGTACGAAGTGTCTATTCACAGTTAGATGTTTTCACGAAGAAAAATTAAACAGGCTGCCAGGAATAATTAATAAATGTCAATCAGTTCCGTGGAATCGAAGGTGTTGGTGAAGAGAAGTACCAGCTAAAATGATTTTATGCCTGTCTTATGAACAATCTAATGTTACCCGACCAATGGACAAAGATCATAGGACGGCTAATGGTCGAAGACTCGTCCGTCTCGAAGACCCGAGACTAATCAGCGGGAGCATTAATCATCCCCGTGGATCCTCGACCCAATTTTCGGTAAGGTCAAGTCGCAATGGAGACGTTGATTGGATTCCACGTCAGACCAGAAGTAAACACCTTTCCTCCCTCCCCTCCTATACGATTCTCTACGAGATCCATCCCAATCTCTTTTCTTTCGATTGAAACGATCGTTTAACCAGCAATAGAAAATATCATCTTTATCGCCTCTTTTAATTTACCTTATTAATTTACAGTTAAGCCAAGATCTACTACTACGCCCCAACGCTTCCCAACTCTCTCACAATTTATACCCAATTAATACCCAAGAATTGAAATAGCGAATCTAATTCACTTTTAATTCCGGATTAACCAAGATTTATCTCGAAATGATTGAAATTTCCATAATTTTACGATTTCTTAAAAAGGATCTCCCTTTTTCAATATAATAACGTAACTTTTCGTTTTTTGATAAAAAAATTTTACTAACAATCTTATAAAATGATTAAATATATTTCCAATAGTTTTTTTTTTTTAAAGAAACTTTAATAAAAATCGTAGAATAGAATAGAAGAATGATCTTTCCTTAGGGATAATGGATAACTAGAGAGATGTTAGAGATATTATGACGACGAAACGAATCTCCCTTTTATTGTTGATGCGGTCGGTGGAAAAAAAAATATACGCTTGGTAATTGTAAACCGTGGCCACCATGGTTGGCGTGGTTGGACCGTTTATCATCATCTCTATAGGTCGGTCGAAGCGAGATTCGGGGGTTCACCCGTGCTAAGAGTTAAAACCTCAGCATGACTGGTGGCCTCGGTAGCCGATAGACGTGTCATTTACGCGTCTACGAATCAATAGCTGCTTCACTTTACACCCACCTTACATCATTAGTCATTTTATAGGGCCGTTATACAGTGTACCCTCTTTACATGCCCCCGGGAATCTCTCTCCCCTCTCTATCCATACGCTCTTGTTCCTCTCCTTTTATTATAGATACCGAGCTGATCGCGCTTTTGTTAGGTATCCGATGGATTTTCCCTTGTTTTCCCTCGATTCTCTGGAATTTTTAATTAGGATCTTCTTCATCACACTCTAAGAAAATTTTTCGAGAAAGGTATTTTAATTTCGAGTAAACTAGGATTTCAACGAAAACTGAATATTATAGTTGTTTTTTTTTTAAAATTTCTTGAATATTTTTTTGAGATTCGAACATTTTCTATGGGTTTTTCGTTGTTTCTCTAGTTTTCTGGAATTTTTAATTAGGATCTTCTTCATCACATTTTAAGAAAATTTTCGAGGAAAGTATTTTAATTTCGAAAAGATTAGGATTTTAAGGAAAGTTGAATATGTTTTTTTAAGTTTTAAGAATATTTTTTTGAGATTCGAAAATTTTCTATGGCTTTTTCGTTGTTTCGCTCGTTTTCTGGAATTTTTAATTAGGATCTTCTTCATCACACTTTAAGAAAATTTTCGAGGAAAGTATTTTAATTTCGAAAAGATTAGGATTTTAAGGAAAGTTAAATATGTTTTTTTGAGTTTTAAGAATATTTTTTTGAGATTCGAAAATTTTCTTCTTCATCACACTCTAAGAAAATTTTCGAGAAAGATATTTTAATTTCAAGAAAACTAGGATTTTAACAAAAGCTGAATATTATAGTTTTTTTTTAAATTTCTTGAATATTTTTTTGAGATTCGAAAATTTTCTATGGCTTTTTCGTTCTTTCGCTCGTTTTTTGGAATTTTTAATTAGGATCTCTATCATACTCAAGGAAAATCTTCGAGGAAGGTATTTTAATTTCGAAAAGATTAGGATTTTAAGGAAAGTTGAATATATTTTTTTGAGTTTTAGGAATATTTTTTTGAGATTCGAAAATTTTCTATGGGTTTTTCGTTGTCTCGTTCGATTTTTTAATTAGGATAGTCTATTGAAGAAAATATTCGAGAAAAATATTTTAATTTCGAAAAAATTAGACGAAAGTTGAATATATTTTTTTGAGTTTTAGGAATATTTTTTAAGATTCGAAAATTTTTCTGAAATTTTTAATTAAGACTTCTATCACATTCGAAGAAAAATTTCGAGAAAAGTATTTTAATTCCGAAATTAGGGTTTTAACGAAAGTTGATTGTGGCTTTTTTTCGAAAATTTTCGAATATTTTTAGATTATAGGTTTTCTATTATTTTGTTTAATTTTGTATAATTTTTATTTAGGACGCTTTCTTTTATTCTCGAAGAAAATTTTCGAAAATTAGAATTTTAACGAAAATCGAATATTATAGTTTCTTTTTGACTTTTAGAAATATTTTTTCCAAACTTTTATATTACATTTAGATCTCTAATTCTTTTTTTATAAAATTCCCAATTTCATTTATTGTATAATTTTTCATTTTCCTCAACACAATCAACCCTCCCTCTTCAACCCTCTTTAAATTAACGTAGCCTTCACCGAAATAAAACACTTTTAATCCATTTTCACATCCTATAAAATTCCTTCCCTTCTATAATTTACTTCACACGTATCATCCTCTCAAAATTACTCCACAAAAAAAAAAAAGAAACAAAACCTCTATCTCCTAATCTATCTCCTAAAATCACAGAGAAGAGCAGAGAGAAAAGCATCGATACCGGTTCAATTCGTACATTCATCCCCTCGTATCGATCGAACCCCCCCACCCCCGAAACGCTTCAAAAATCCCCGAAGAGAACCCGGAATCTGGTGTTTCGATCTAACTTCTATAAAAACACCGATCTGGAGAGAGGGTGTATCCATAGGGTGAAACCAGATGCGGAACAATTAATAAAATGTATCCAGGGAGTGTCCAGGAGGAGGATGCGTCCCGACTAATATTCGAATTCTGCCGTGACACGGCCCAACTAATCATTATAACGATCCCGCGTATGCACGTTACACGTGCTCCTCCTTGCCAGTGGTGCGCGTGCGCGTTCTTCACGAACCTGAAGAAACGACGAACGCTTTTGCACCGCTCGATTTTCGGATCTATCGCCCTCTGAAAACCTCTCTGCCCAACCCTCTCTCCCTCTCCCTCTCCCTCTCCCTCTCTCTCTCTCTCTCTCTCT